GTTCACGACCCAGGGCCCTGCAACCTGTCCTGCACACTTGTGATCAAACATTGGCATGGGCTGTGTGTTCCCGGGGGACAGGCATGGGGTCTGTGTCGCTCGCTGTAGCCCGCCTGGCATCCAGCCTGGTGCCAAGGCTCACAGTGACTCCTGAAGGGTCGCCCCAGCCCTCCTCGGCGCTGCGTTCCTTCACACAGCTCTGGGCAATGCGGACAAGCCGATCCCTTACTGGCCGGCTGATGGAAATCAAGTGTGGCACATTTCCATTTGGTTGGACCATCATGGACCGAAGCCAAACTCAGGTCTGGTTTTTAAAGAAGATGAAAAACTGCCTGCCAGCTTAATGAACTGCTCTCACCCAGGGCGGAGCTGGGCCTGGCCCCAGCGGACCTGAGATGATGCGTTCGGTGATGTCCTCATGGACCCCATCTGGTGTCCTGCGTGGCCTTTGGCAGGCCCTGGCTCACAGGGGTTTAGACCATTCAGCGGGAGGCTGGTAAAAGCAGTGGTTAGTCCAGGGCTCCATGTCTGCCCCAGCCACAGGCAGAGCTGAGTCCTGGGGAGCAGAAAGACTACATTTCCCAGAGTCCCCCAAAGCCTGGGAAGGAGCCATTGGAAGATTTAAATAGCCCAGGCCCCGAGGCAGCCCGGTCACAGCTGTGGATGCAGCTGTCTCCCCTTAGTTCCATTGGCTCTGGCCTGGCATTGGTGGGCTCCATTGGCTGCCCAGCCTGGCACTGCCGCCCCCCTCGTCCCCCTCCAGCGAGTGGCAGTCGGAGGTAAACAACCATGTGTGCTCCTCCACTCTATAATTAACAGCCGCGGCAGTGGGGATCGGAGGAGGCAGGGGCCTGGGGACCGTGGTGGTTGGCGGCTGGCTGCTCTTGTCTTGGGAGAGAGGGCCCCTGGAGCCAGGCGGGCACTGGCCTTCTCTGTGTGAACCAGTTGCCATGCCAGCTTCCCAGAGCCGGGCCCGGGCCCGGGACCGAAGCAATGTCCTCAACCGGGCCGAGTTCCTGTCCCTGAATCAACCCCCCAAGGGGGTCCCAGAGGCCCGGAGGACGAGCAGGCAGGCCCCGGGCCCATCAGCGCAGCCCCCACCGGCCTCAGATGGGCCCCGGGAGCGTCGCCAGTCGCAGCAGCTGCCCGAGGAGGACTGCATGCAGCTGAACCCCTCCTTCAAGGGCATCGCCTTCAGCTCCCTGCTGGCCATCGACATCTGTATGTCCAAGCGGTTGGGGGTGTGCGCAAGCCGGGCCTCGTCCTGGGCCAGCGCCCGATCCATGGTCAAGCTCATCGGCATCACGGGCCATGGCATCCCCTGGATTGGGGGCACCATCCTATGCCTGGTGAAGAGCAGCACACTGGCCGGCCAGGAGGTGCTCATGAACCTGCTTCTGGGTGAGTGTGTCTGGCTCACCGCCCTGCCAGGCCCTACCCCCCCACCCCAGGACCAGTCAGCAGGGCCCCGGGGCCCTCAGAAACCAGCAGGAACTGTTAATCTAATGAGGTTAAGCAGGTAGGGTGTCCCAGAAACAGGCTGTGGGGAAGGGCACTAGGGGTGCATGGACCAGGGACCCCGAGGATGGGCGCCTCAAGAGTGCA